TATTACCAGAGGGACCAGTCCCTGGAGAAGGACATCATGCTTGGTAGAGAGTCAGCGAAAAAGAAGAAGACCCTCCACGAGATGGATTGACACAGTGGCTGCCACAATGGGCTCAAATATAGCAAGGATTGTGAGGGTGGCGCAGGACCAGACAGTGTTTCGTTCTGTTGCACACATAGGGTTGCTATGAGTCGGAACCGACTCAATGACACCTAGCAACAACAACAACAGCCTTGGGAGGTATATATTACAATCCCCCTTAACAGATGGGGAAACTGAGGCACAGGGTGGCTCCATCACAGTGAGCCATGGCAGTGCCTGCATTCAAGTACAGGCCTGTTTGGCTTTGCTGCTCCCTGCCTTCCTGAACCCAGAAACTGTAGCCTCATGATAGTCTTCCCATCAGCATGCCTGGACCCTTGGGTGGGCTGCAGCAGTGGCTGCCCACCCAACCCAATCTGTTGCCACTGGCACCCTGCATCCTGCTCTCCCATCTGCAGATGCCCCCGTTCATCAGGCCTTTGCACATGCTGGGCCCCCGTGCCTGGAATCCCTCTCCCTTTTCCTCCATGCACCTTCCTGGTCTCTGATCAGCCTAATATCCCCTGGGGCCCTATCTCTAAACCCCATGCTGTATTATCATTGCTTGTTCATGGGTCTGTCTCCCCCAGCCTCACCCTTCATCCAGCCCCGGCTCACAGAGGGCAAGGACTGGCCCTTATTCATCCAAGTATCCCCAGACCCAGCAATGGGGCCAGCTTAAAGTGGGTGCTCAGGGTTTGCTGAATGAATGAACGGACAGACGGATGAAAAGCACCTCTCCTGGGTGTTTTCCGGTTCCTCCAGGGTCAGAAATCTTAGCTATTCCCTCACCAGGCCTTGAAGCCGCTTCTGGTATCAATATTCTTGGGAAGTTTTCATGTAAAGCACAGAGCCTGGGCACATTCCACACCCCTTAAAGAGTCTCTGAAAGGAGAAAACTTCTCAGAGAGCCCCACAAGCCTCTGGCTAGTGGGGAAGATTTTCCGGAAGGCCTGGTTTGGGAGGTGGGGGAAGCCTTTTTGTTATTTCCAGTCAGCTCTGCCACCCTGGTTCTGTCCCCTCAGTGGGTCTCAGGGTAAGTCCCTGAAGCCCAGGGACCTCAGTTTCTCCAAGTATATATAGGAGGAGGCCATAACCCACGGTTAGGCTCCTCAGTCTACTGTGTAAGACTCAGTGACGCGGCTGCAGGAGAGGGCCAGGCCTGTGGGGGGAGGGGTGGGGGATCCTGACTCGGCACAGACTGAGGGGAAAGGGCACTGCCAATCACTGTGCCTGCCCTCCGCCCACCGGGTCCTGCCTGCCTCCTCTCCCGCCCTGACAGCCCTCCAGCTCCCCAGCCGCCGCAGGGGTGAGAGGAGAGGAAAGGGCCCCCACCCTGAGCCCCGAGACAGGGTCCTCACAGGCAGCAGGCGCTGCTCGCCGGCCTCACAGAAGACGGATCGCTTGCTTAATCACTCTGGAAAAGAACCCCAAGCCAATATAATATTATAATTAATTAATTCACTAAAAAGGTATTAAATTTCTCTCCCCCCTGTGGATATTATCTGAATTCATTGACCTTTAGAAAAATCACCCTCTAATTGTAACCAGGTCCAAAAGCATTTGCAGCCCGTCCCTTTTACATTAATAATATCTTCCCGGACTTGGCTCTGGCTGCTTAAATATTGTATAAATTCCATTGCACCCCCCTCCTTGGAAAAGAGAGAGCAAAGAAAAAAGATGAGGCTGGAGGAGCCTGAGAGGGGGCTGGGGACTGGACCCCTGAGAGGTGGGGGTCCCAGGAGGTGAGGGGCAGGAAGTGATCAAGATGCTCTTTCTTCAATGCTCCAGCTTCTCGTGAAGGTGGCTTGGAAGAGCGGGGTGGGGGTGGGGGGAGGGAATGGGCTCTGAGATGAGGGAGGGGTGTAGGTGGGAGCAGGAGTGCTAAGCTTGGAGTTCTTTTCTTCGGCAGCCATGAGTATATGTATCAGACTCTCATGAGAGTTGGTGGCCCCAGACAGTGAAGAATCCCTGATTTGACAGAATACTGGGTGATGGAAACTTGAGAAATTCTGAGCAGTACATTCTGAGCTCCTGCTTCTCCCCTCCCAGGCTTCCACTCTAGTTCTGCCGCATTCCACAAAACGGTGGAGCAGACCTCAAGGAGATGTAGTTGGACTTCCAGGACTTGCCAAGCCTGAAGAGGTAGCTACTAAGGAAGACAGAGAGCCAGCGCTGCCCCCGGGCCAGCCTAGGCAGGGCCACAGTAGACTCCTGGCCTTATCTGAACCACCGGAAAGCGAAATGCCCAGCGGATGGCCGGGGCAGAAAGTCTCCTTCCTGCTTGTGCATGTCCGTGAACGTGTCTACCCTCACTCTGTGGGCCTGGATCCTGCCTCCCTCACTGATCTTGGCCCATGGTAAAGACAGGCAGATGCAGGAACTAGGGCTGAGGATGTCAGGATCAGGGACTGGGTGATTTCTACATCTGCCCCCCAACCCCCATCACCGTCTCTGCCCCCCAGCATCCTAGCTCTAGCTTTGGGCCCCACATGGGATCAAGGGAGCTATAGCTGCTTGGCCTCCCCCTAGCTTGGACTCCCTTTCCTCCAGACTCCACTCTCCTTTCACACTTTTGTTCATTTCTCAACGCCTGAGAGAAGAGGTGTGGGCAGGTCCATCCCTGCTTTCATACAAGCCCAACTTATCCACTCCACATTTTTAAAAATGATTTTCTCTCTGGATCCGATGTCTGGAAAGATGTTGTCTATCAAATAAGGAACATGTGTGAAGAATACCTTTGCCTTCCCCTCTTATTTAATTGGAGATATAACCACAGTCCAAAGCCAACAGTGGGTTTCCATTCCAGCTAAGGGCCGTGCGAGCCAGTTCCAGATACAAGTACACTTTCTGGTGACTTGTTGAAATGCTGAAGGTAGCACCTTTGCCCCCCTTGACCAAACCTGCCAGACTCCCAGGGTGGACGCTCTGAGGCAAGCAGCCTGGAGTGTACAGTTAAACTGAGACTCCACCCCCCCATCCCTCCACCTGCAACCAGGGCAGGCAGATGCCGGGTCCTGGCCCTGCGGCGCCCTCTTGTGGGAAAAACCTTACTCGCACCCGCTGCCCTGCCCAATGGGTCTCGAGGCCCCGCCCCCAGGCCCACTCAAACTGCAGACTGTGGAGGCCCGGCTGAAGGAACCCAGGTGGGGGTAGAGGATACAGGTGGTCCTGAGGGGCTGAGTGAGGGGGCAGGCGGTCTGCTCTCCACTCCAAGGAGTGAATCCCCCGGGGAAAAGGGAAAGCCCTAGGGAGGCACCCAAAATACCGAGTAGTCTAGTGGGTAGAGGGAGATTTCCCAGCCGCCTGAAGGATGGGCCTTGGGAGTTCACCCACCCCCTCCGGCGCTAACGCAGCACAAGTCGGGGCCCACCAGGTGTCTCCTAGCCAGAGTCCAGGGCTTGCCCCAAGAAGGCCTCAGAGCGGGGTTCCCAGGGTAGGGCAGGTTCCGGGGCGGTGGGGCGGGGCTTCGAGTTCGAAGAAGGCACCAGCGTCCCGCTGGCTGAGGCTCCACAAGGTCACCCACCGCCCCGGCCGACCTTGAGACTAATCCTGCTTCCTCTGCCCGCCCAGACGCCACCCGCGCCCATACTGCCCAGCCCCCTTTTCTTCTCTCCTCTCAGAAGTTAATTGCGCCAGTGTTGATTTGATCTCCTGTTCTGCACAGAGGAAATTGCCCTCTTAGCCATTTTCATCCTGGGATTTTTTTTTTTTTAAATTAAGCCCCTTCCGCCTGTCAGAGCCCTGCGAGGCGGGGAAGCCATTTTGGTCTCTTGCCTGAAGACTGTGGAAGGCCCCAGGGAACTGAGGGAGGAGACCCTCCCACAAACTGCGCTTAGTTGCTAATGGAGAGGTTGGAGGTTCAAGTCTACCCAGAGGCAGCTTGGAAGGAAGGCCTGACGATCTACTTCCAAAAGACCAGCCACTGAAAATGCTATGGAGCACAGTTCTACTCTGACACACATGGAGTCACTATGAGTTGGCATTGACTCCACAGCGCCTGGTTTTCCCTCCCTCCAGATACCTGGGGCTCAAGCAGATGCCCCAAGCCCATTTCCCCATCCTGGGTGAGATCATAAATTTCCAGTACTTTGGAGCAGAAGGAACTACTGTGGGAACTCTGTGTGGTGAGGAGACTGAGGCCCAGAGAGAGGAAGGCTTTGCCTGACAGCGCCAGAGCAGGGAGGAGAAGCCATGTAGTTGACTCTTCCCAAATTAGTCCATGTCTTTCCTCCTTTCTCCAGACCCAAAGGACACAGCCCCTCAGTTACTAGGAAGCCCGTTTTGCTAGAAACACTAAGTCAGCAAGCAAGCAGAGGAGCTGGCCTTGCCTCACAGAGCACAGAGCTCTAGACCTCCAGCTGGGTCTCAGGCCATCTAGTGAGGGGAAGAATCTGGAGTGGTCACCACTAGAATTGGAGGTGGGGAGTAAGAGAAGTTCCCAGCTCGAGCCAGAGTAGCCTGGGCCATGGAAGGAGGCTCCAGCTTAGGAAAAGCAGCTCAGGACGGCTTACAAGCAACTTCCTGCCCCCATGGTCTCAGGCCACAACTGGATGTGTGGGACCAGCATGGATGCAGCGCCATCTTGTGGCTATGAGGAGGGACAACACCCCCATCACCACCCAAGCCCTGTAAATAAGGCTCCATCTCTATCTTCTCATGGGGCAGGGCTGGGGAATTGGAGGGAACCGGGTGATGAGCTTGCCCCTTCCTCTCTGTATCCCCTTACCGTGGCCCCCAACAGGGGACATTTGAACTCAGAATCCAGAAAGGAGCCCACTGAGTTGAATCCTCCCCTTCTCTGTCAACCCTAGACCCACTCCAAAGAGACAGGACAAGCAGGTACAAAGCACAGTGTTTACTAAAGGCACAAAGTGGGAAGCCTGGAGGGGAGCTGCTCTTCCAGCAGTGACCCCACTCTAACCCGAGCCCAGCCCCTCCCTCTCACCGGCCACCCCCGCCCTCACACCACCTGGTAGAGAGCTGTTAGCACCAAAGGGGGGTGGGATGCCCCACCTGTGTGAGGGAAGAATACCAGGCTGGGGACAGGCTTATTGCAATCTGAGTCCCAGAAAGGCAGGCCTGGGCACCTCCAGACCAGTCGCTGCCTCAAAAAAGAAGCTTCCTGAACCCCCTGCTCCAACGCATCCTCCTTCATTGGTTAGGGGAGGGGGGTGTCAGGCTCAGATGACAGGACCCCCCAGGACCTCCTCTTACCTCTAGCACATCCTGTCTCCTCCCTTCCCCTCTTGATTTTGCCTCCAGGAACTGGGCTGAAAGCCTATCCCTGCCCAGCGCCTCCCAGAGGTCTGCCTGTGAAGGGCACTGAGTCGGATGGGGGGGCTTCTCCTGACCCCACAGGCTGCCAGGTGGGCACTAAGTCCAAACAGGGGGCCAAGGGGGAGTGAGGCAGGGCAGGTGGCTACTTCACACACAAGTGCAGCCTGAAGGGAGGGAGGGAGTTGGCCCTGGCCCTCCCAGCCCCCAGGCTTGCCCCTGTTCCCCAGCACGGGGGCAGCCAGGGTCACAGCACATCGCCCTCCTCCATGCTGAAGCTGCTCCTGCGGCTGCTGGCCTTAGAGGCCTCGGGTGACATGGTAGAAAAGAGAGGGTCAGAGGCCAGTGGTAGCAGCGAGTCGTCCAGGAGCATGAGGTCCAGATCCTTCTTGGACAGGCCAGGGAATGGGGATCCATGCTCAGGCCCCAGGGGCTCAGAGTAGCCTGGGGGCCCCTCTTCGCCCCTGCCCCCAAAGCTCAAGCTGTGGCTGAAGTCCAGGTGGTGGAATGGGGACTGCTGCTGGGGCGGCTGGGCCGGTGGGGGCGGTGGGGCCTGGGGGGGCAGAGCCTGGAGCGGCTCAGGGTCAGGGACCTCAGCCCCCAGCAGCAGGGCCTCCCCCGGGCCCTCCTCAATGGGCAGCTCCTGCTTCACCACCTGCTGGGCCAGCTCAGCCATGTTCATGCCTGATGGGGAGGTGGTCGGGAGGCCATGCACTCGAGCTTGCATCTCCAGCTCCTGCAGGGGAGCAAACAGAGGGCTAGAAGCACACACCATGGGCATCAGCTGCCAAGCTCCCCCGACTACCCCCTAGACCAGGCCACAGCCATTGCGCCCCTCCTAGTGGCTTCCCGTTAAACACACTGCTGTGGAGTCGATTCTGACTCATAGTGACCCCATAGGACAGAGTAGACGTGCCCCATATGGTTTCCAAGGAGCAGCTGGTGGATTCGAACTGCTGACCTTTTGGTTAGCAGCCAAGTTCTTAACCATTGTGCCACCAGGGCTCCAGTGGCACCCAAGACCACCAAATGTCTCAGCTGGAAGAAAGCACAGGGTAGCTCTAGAGTCTAGATTCTTTTTAAACTACAAGTCACAACTCATTAGTGGGTTGTGAAACCACTTAGTGAGTCTTAACCAGCTCTCACTGTGTTTTAATTGAAATAGGCTTGCCTAGACTAGACTAGAATTGAAGCTATCGGAACGCACTGCAACTATTAAGGATGAGTGTTCTTTCAATAAACTTTGATTTTGGTTGTGAGTGTGTGTGCGCGCTGGGTTGTAATGTAAATTATATTAACTAGCATGAGAAATAGTCGAAAAAGTTTGAAAGCTGCATCCACTCACCCTTTGTATAGAGGACCAGCCTCAGGGGCCCCAACACAGAGCCAGGACTAGAATCTGGGGCTCCAGATAGTGGGACTGACTCTCCCAGGCCTTGTTCTGTAGTTTGCACCCCCATCCCACCCTCCCCACCACCCCTGCTGTGGTTCTTAATGCTATCCACCAAATATTCCTACCTCTCTGCCTTTCAGGCACATGGTAAGTTTGTACTTACTTGCCTCTTTGAGGTTAGGTGTAGCCCCCGTGTACTTGCATTGACCAAAGAAAAGTGAGCAGAAGTGACATGTGTCACTTCTGTGGGAGCTTTAAGAGCCAGCCCTTGATGTGCCTGTCCATCACCCCAATTCCCAGAATGAGTCTTGCCATGCAGAACCCCCAGCTGATACTTGTTGCTGAAAGGTGCTAATGTATGGGGATCGCTTGTTACCACACATCACAGAGCTCATCCTGACTGATATAAGGCCCTCCTCATGGGCATTATTCCCATGTCTCCAATTCCAGAGGTGTTAAGCACTATCCCTGGGGTCAGGGATCAGAGGTCAGAGTTACCCAGGAGATCCAAGGTGAGGGGCCAGACCTGGATGCGGAGCAAGAGCTGCTTGTTGGTCATCTCCAGGCGCCGAGAGTGGTTCTCAAGCTCCCTGGACTTCTGCAGGTCCCTCTGCATCCTCCGGATGTAATCGACTGAGGCCTTGAGGATGGTGCCCTTGTTCCAGCGCACATCCCTGCAGCCAGCAGGCACAAAGTGAGAGGGGCACCCGCGAAGGAATATCCAAGCCTTGCCAGGCGCACCCTGGGCACAGCCAAGCCCCGCTTTGATGGCGGGAGCCTGTCGCCTGCCCCAGCCTTGCCCACAACCCCCAGACCTGGCCACCCTCTATTTGTGGTGTAGGAGGATCTCGGCCTACCCAGAACAGGCCCTCCCAGGCGATTTCTGTTGCCACCGATCACCTCACTGATCCTGTGGAACCCAGTGACTCGGAGCGGCTTCCTTCCCAAGGTCTGCCATCCTGGCTGCCAAAACCCTATCCTTAGCTCTCACTCCCCTACCCCTGGTCGCTTCTCTCCTCTCCATCAGCCAATACCCTTGCCAAACCTTCCCAGCACGACGCCTCATCCATGAAGCCTCCCCTGACCCCTGACTTCCTTGACATCTGCCCCTTTCTATCCTGAGCCATCCTGACTTGGAGGAGAGAGGGATCTTCCTAAATAGATGGTAAACTCCCAGGAGGCTGGCAACCAAGGGCTTTTCTTCTCATCCTTTCCCTCTAGCAGCTAGCATGGCACTACCCTCCCCCAAGCCCCTCTCCTCCCCCTAGAAGCTCACAGGTCGTTGGCCTTGGGGATGAGCATTCCCAACTCCTTGATGCGGTCGTTGATGTTGAACCTCCTTCTCCTTTCAACTGTAGGCAACAGATTCAGGAGGGAGCAATTAGAGAGATGGGACCCATCTGGGAAGAGGGGTCCAGCTCAGGGAAGGCCACCCCAGGGTCAACCTGCAGCTTAGATTTAGCCCTTCTGGGAAGTAACGGGTGGCCAACCGACAGGGATTTCTACAACGTGGGTGCGGGGCACAGACTAGATGCGGAGGTAAGGAGCACCGCGAGGTAGAACCAGCCCTGGTGGAGCTGTTAGCTGAGCAAAAGGGCCTGTGGGAGGGCCCTCCTCACTACACAGAACTCCTTCTGGGGCCCCAGGTTCCAGGCCCCTGCTCCCTAGAAACAGCCAGTCTGATAAACCCATTCACTCTGAATGGCTATCCCTTCCCAGGAGCCCCCTCTCCCACTCCATCCTAAAAAGGACTAGTGGAGAGAGGCATTGAGAGCCCACCCGAGTCGCACCAATGGGAGAACTCGGAATCTTCAAGGACCTTGGCTGAGGTTCGCCCTAGGATCTGTGCTGGCCAGGGAATGGGTTTTTAGCCATCCCAGGTGTGGGGGAGGAAGCGGGAAGGAGGTCAGGGGGACGGGCTGGGCAGGACTCACTTAGATTGTGATTGTCTTTCTTCTGCCTCTCCTTGGCCAGGGCCCGACTCTCAGCATCTGGAAGCCAGGGGAGAAGGAGAGAGGAGTTGGGCGGGGGCAAGAAAGGGAAAGAGGAAGGGGGAGCTGGGCACGGAAGGAGGTGGTACCTGTGAGCTCTCGTTTCTGGGTCAGGTCAGCTGGGCAGGAGCTGCTGGTGACACCCACCAGGGAGGCTGTGACCTGGGGGTCGCCGCTGTACACATTCAGGTGGCTACTGGACAGGGGCAGCTGTGGGGCAATGGGGGAAGGGGGGGAGGGTAAGCAGGCTCCTCTCCATGGGGGGCCTCCCCCAAGGCCCAGGAACACCTGGGGCAAACCATGCTGGTGTCTAATGGGCCATAGTCTAGGTTTTAAGGGGTCTGCAGCCCGCTCGAGGGACATCAGAATTCACCCTGGGCCCCTGCACCCAGCATGCAAACAGAATCTGCAGAGTCCAGAGCAGATGCAGCCCCTGCCCTCAGAAGTAACCAGTCTAGAGTGGCTAGGAACCACTAAAGAGGGTCAGCAAACCCAGTGATAAGTGTGGTGATAGGATTATGCACTAGGCATTATGGGAGCCCAGGGGAGGGGCACTTAATCCATTCTGGAGTTTCTGGAATGTTTCCTAGGGGAACAAACCAAAAACAAACCCATTGCCATCAAGCCCGATTCCAAATCATAGCAACCCTATAGGACAGAGTATAACTACCCCACTGCCCCATAGGGTTTCCAAGGAGCGGCTGGTGGATTTGAACTGCCGACCTTGTGGTTAGCAGCCAAGCTCTTAACCACTGCACCACCAGGGAGGACAGGGAACTTGAACTGAGCCCTGAGCAGAGATATGAGGAAGGCACTTAGGCAGGGGGTAGGATACAAGCAGGGTCCCTGGGTGGTGCAAAGGGCTAACACACTCATCTGTTAAAGAAAGGTTGGAGGTTCAAGTCCACCCAGAGGTGCCTCGGAAGAAAGCCTGGTGAACTACTTCTGAAAAATCAGCCACTGAAAACCCTATGGAGCACAGTTCTACTCTGACACACATGGGGTCGCCATGAGTTGGAGCTGACAAGTGGCAGCGACAGCTCCCAGGGCAGGAGTGTGGAGTGGGATGGTGTGATGAGGGCAGGGGTAGGATGTGCTGCTGGGCCCTGGAATGTCTTGTTTGACTTGCAAAGACAGTGGCATTTTGGAATGGGCTGCCAGTAAGGGTTTAAGCAGGGGCCTAACAGGGATAGATTTGAGCTCTGGACGAATCTCCCCAGCTCCTGCCACAGAAACACACAGAGTAAATTGCAGGCCCAGAACCACAAAGAACACAGACTCTAGCACCCTCCCTCCCTTCCCTGCCCTTGCTTCCCAGGTGGCTGCAGGCTTCAGACCAAACTGGTCCCAGCCAGCTCCTGCAGAGTGACTCGGCAATGTCACCGTGGCAGTGAGGATTGAAGGTTGACTCCCCACCACAACAATTGGGGACTTTCCCTTGGTGTCATGGGAAGGGGGCCAGGATCAGGGCACCAGGCTCAGCAGGTGGAGCCCAGGCCTGAGCGACAGCAGTGAGCAGTTGAGGTTCGGGGACTGCCAAAGGGGGGAGGGGCGGGGGGGGGCGGCAACCAGCAATTCCACCTGTTCAGTATAAATACTTGTCACCCTTACTCAGAGCATGCCCACAATTTCTTGCCTCATCTAATCTTCCCACAATCCTGTGGGTAGATGGCATCACTCCCATTTTGCAGCTGAGAAAACTGAAGCTCAGAATGGTTGAGGGACTTCGCAAGGTCATATCAAAAGCCTGAAGCCAGGCTTCTTGATTCCAAGCCTGGCTCCTTACACCCGAAACCTCACCTCTGCCAGGCTGTGTCAGAGGGAAGGGTCCTGTGGTTGGGGTCAAGGCCAGCCCCTTATCACCTGCCCCACAGAGTGAGGGGCACTGGGCTTAGCAGGGGAGGGGAGCCCCAGCCCCCCAAAGGAACTCATCAGCCCAGGCCTTTCTGTGGACACACAGGCCCATTCCTGTCCCAGGACTAGTTTTCTCTCCACCTCCCAGAATGCTGTCCCGCCTCCCCTCTGCCGAGGCCCAGCACCAGTACCTCCTTCCCCCTGCAACCCCAGACAGCCCTCCCCACTGCCCAGCCACCCCTCTAACTCGCCATCATGCACCAGGGCCTTGGCACAGCTTCTTTCCTGAGGCATCGTTATGCTTGGCCCGGGCCTCCTCACATCTTTTGAAGGGGGCGGCTCTCACCTCAGAAGCAAGATGCCGGCTCTGCCCATGTGATGACCCTGTCTCTAACTCTTTCCCCATCTCAGAGCCACTCTCCCCAACTTCTACTTGCACACCCGCCCAACCCAGCCAGCAGTACCGTGTTGGGCATCTGAATTTCAGGATTGATGTAGCCCAGGACATCATCCAGACGCATAATGTTGTCAATGACATCATCAAACTGAAATGAGAAAGAGTTCATCCCAGGTGGGCCTGCTGGGAGAAGGGGCAGGGGAAGGGGCCCTGGGACAGCCACAGAGCTGGAGGGACCATGAGGCCCACCTCACCCAATCCATTCATCTAGGAGAGGAGGACACAGGCCCACAGAGAGGATGAGCTGCCCAGGCCCCATAGCCCCAAGGCCCAGGCCAGGGCTCTTCCCAAGGAACCTAGTTGCCCAGGGAGCTTTCTTTACACACCTCTGTTTGGACATGCCTTTGTGGGTGTGCTGGGCTTTCTTGTGCGAGTCTCCTGCTTTTCCCTAGCAGAGCTTTCAAAAGTGGGTATGGCGTTCTCCGTGAGACTGGGGCTCCCTGAGGGCAGGGCCGTGTCTCCCCCTCAGACTGGGGCTCCCTGAGGGCAGAGCTGTGTTTCCCCTTCAGACTGGGATACCCTGAGGGCAGCATCCTGCCTCTACCATTACACTAGGAGTCCCAGGAACAGAGCACCTGGCACCAGCTCTGCCCACCGCAGCCACGGGCCAGCTTCTCACTCACCTCCCTCTCAGGGTTGGAGCCAATGTGCAGCATGGCCATGGGGCTGTTGGGAGCACTATTGCCAGCCGAGGAGGACACCACATGTCCGGCCCGCACCCCCGGGGAGGCAGCAGGCGGAGGCTTTGGGGAGCCCTGGGCTGGGCTGATGTGGGCGGCAAACTTGTTTCCGTAGGTTTCAGACAGGTACTCCCGCACCTTCTGGTCCCGGGACTGCTGCAGGTGGTAGGAGGTGGGGTTCTCCAGGTAGGACTGCACCTGTGAGGAAGAGAAGGCAAAGATCTAGGGGTGCCTGGGACCCATGGGGGCAGGGTGAGGGGCAGATCTTACCTTCAGCACTTCCCCAGGCACAGGTGGTGGAGACTGGAAGTGGACGGGGGTGTTGATGGCTGGGGTGGGCGGCCCCCCCAGCTGTTGCTGCTGCTGTTGCTGCTGCTGCTGCTGCTGCTGCATGTAATGCATGACAGCCTGCTGCTGCATGCGCTCCCGCTGCTCCTCCTGCTGCGCCTGCTCCCGCATGAGCTGCATGCGCAGCCCAATGCGCGACGCCATGGCGGCTGCTGGCACCGGCTCCCTGTGGATGAGGGCATCTGTGAGGCTCAGGGGCGTAGCGAGGGTAACAAGCACCCAGGGACAATCTCTAAGTTGCACCCCCCCCGCAAATTTTCAAGGTGAATAGACACTGATAGTGGCGACGAAAAGGAGAAGCCGAGCGCTCCCGCAACCCAAGCGCGATTTCCTACCAAGCCTGAGTCCTGGGACGGGGGAAGCTGACAGGAGGACAGTGGCGCGAGCGGTGTCTCCGGGCAGGTGAATCATCCCAGCAGACACCAAGAGCCACGGCGGCAGAGAGCAGCACCGAACATAGCTGAAGTAGGCACCAGCTTTCTGGGTAGCTCAAGTCCTACATAGTTTGGTCTTGGACATACCTCTGGACTGTGTGGTATCGCCTCCTCTGACATTGTCACCTGATGTGGTCTGCACCCCCTGCACCCCCCAAGTGATGCCATTGGCACCTCAGAATGTCATTCCATGCCTTGTCTGGTGCCCCTTGGACTTGTGCCTGGGGCAAGTGGCCCCCTCTGAGGCTCTTGGCCTCTTCAAAGCACTGGGTCTTTTGGGAGGGGGCCAGGGCAAATGGGATCTCACTCATTGTACAGGAGAGCACACTGAGGCCCTGAGAGGGGAAGGACTCGCTCAAGGTCACCAAGCAAGTGTGTGACAGGGCAAAGACTTCAATCTGGGCAGCGTTTCGTTCTGTTGTACATAGGCTCGCTACGAGTCTGAACCGGTTCGACGGCACCTAACAACAACGTAACGGACCAGAAATGGAGACTCCCTCTTCCTCATTCTTTTCAGCTGGTGTGGTGTGATGGATTGCTTTTGTGTGGCCTTTCTCGCCGTGGTCTTCTAACTCCCACCCAAGGGATGGGGTGGGATTGTGCAAATGAGTAATTGTGGCCCACCAAGGGGATCGGTCAGTTTTGCCATCCCACTAGGCTTAAAATGAGCCATCCCAGAGGTGGGAAGGGAGGATCTTACCACCACCAAGGAAGAAGAGCTAGGAGCAGAGCATGTCCTTTGGATGCGGGATCCCTGCACTGAGAAGCTCCTGGAACCAGGAGACTGAGAGAGAGAGAGAGCTGTAACACCAAAGACAGCGAGAAGCAGCCGGCAGAGAAACGGCCGCAGCAGAGGCAGGAGACCTAGCGAGAAAGCTGAGTTCCTTTTGGCAGGAGGATTACTGGCGGAGTAGGGTGCCTCTGGGCACTTGGTGGAGCTAGGTTTTTGACCCACAGAGCTAGAGCTGAGTGCCTTTGGGCCGAGGCTTCCTGGCAGATTGGAGTACCTCAGGGTACTTACTGGCAGAGCTAAAAGATCTTTGTAACACTTGCCTGAGCAGGGAACAGGCTGGGAGCCAGAGAGAGGCGTGCCTGCGGGCACAGCTGAGAAGAGGCTGTCCTGATGAAGCACTGTATCCTGAGCATTCCTGAACCCGAATTTTAACCTGTTACTTCCCTGATAAAACCCATAACTGTGAGTATGGTCTGTGAGTTTTGTGTGGCCATTGCAATGAATTATCCAACTCAGCTGAGAAGTAGAGAGTGCCATGGGAGGGACAGTTGGTGTCAGAATCGGTAAAGATGGTGGACAGGGAGACATGTCTGATCTCTGCCTCATAGGAATCAGCCTTGGATTGTTGATCTTGATTCTCCTTCCCCCTTGTGAAGTTAAAGAAGGTCAGACGCTGCCCCTACTCTTTTTTTTTTTTTTACAGTTGGTCAGCCCCAAAATCTTAGAGTCAGCTCCTCTCTTTCTCTCACATCCTGATCCTGTCAGATCTCAACTCAAATATACCCTCCACTGCCACCAGCATGGGACCAGCCTCCACCATTTCTCATTCCTGAAGGGGCCTCCTCATGTTCAGACTCTGCCTTTTGTCTTTCTCTACAACGTTCTACTCTCAACTCAGTAGCTAGAAGGATCGTGTTAAAGCCCAAGTCAGACCATGTCCCTCCTCTGCTCAGAGCCCTCCATGGCTCCCACCTGACTCAGAGTAAAAGCTGAAGTCCTTACAATGGCCTAAAAGGCCCTCTATGATTCGCCCTACCCATGTTCCCCTTTTTGCTCCAGACGCACCGACCTCTTAGGAATTCCTCAGACACACCAGGCATGCTCCCACTTTAGGGCCTTGGCATCTGCTGTTCCGTCAGCCTAGGATGCCCTTCTGCCAGATAGCATCATGACTCAATTCTTCACCTCCTTCAAAGCTCAAACATCACCTTCTTAGAGAGACTTTCCATAATCACCCTATTGCAAATCCCCTCCCACCACTACCACACAAGCACACACATTCCCATGACCCTTTCCTCTTTTATTTTCCTCCATATCACTTATCACTATCTTAAATCCCATGCATTTTTACTTAGTTATTTCATTCACTGTCTCTTCCCTATCAGGACTGCAAACTCCCCTGAGGACAGGCGTTTTGTCTGTCTTGCTCAGTGCTGTACCCTCAGCCTCTAGCCCAGTGCCTAGCATGTAGAAGATGCTCAATAAATGTGTGAAGTGAATGCATATTATGTACAAACCAGGTACTGGAGACACAGCAGTGAGCCAAGTATAGTCCCTGAGCTCACAGAGTCTACAGTCTAGGAAACAAGGAAGTCAAGGCCACAGGCAATGATAACCCTGTGTGTACAGAGGGCCACTCTTGGCCACCCTGCCCTGCCATGCAAAGGGCTTCCTACCACCCAGCACACCAGCTCTGATCGCCCATGGGTCTCAGGGGGACAGGTGGAACTTAGGCCCCCCAAGCCTACCAGGAAGATGGGAGGACAGGACTAGCTCACTTAGTGACCCCAGCCAAGTCCCTTCCTCTCTTTGAGCCTCAGTCTCCCCATGCACAAAATGAAAGAGTTGGACCAGGTGACCTCTAAAGTCCTTCCTAGGTGGGATGGGCTGAGACTCCTGGGAGGCGCAGGGCCCCTGGGGGCACCCTCAACTCCATAAGGGTCCAGGCAGGGGCTGGAGGGGCCCGTCTAGGGCATATTGGCATTGCAAGAGGCAGTGTCGCTTTATGGGTGAGCAAGGGCTATAGAGCTAAACAGATGTGGGCTTGAATCCCAGCTCTGCCACCTACTTGCTCTGTGACCTTGGGCAAGTCACTTAACCTCTCTGAGCCTCTATTTCCTCATTTGTAAGCAGTTTCTACTTCAAAAGGTTGGTTGTGGTTGTTAGGTGCCGTCGAGTCAATTTCAACTCATAGTGACCCAATGTGACAGAGTAGAACCGCTCCATAGGGTTTTCTAGGAGCCGATCACCAGGTCTTTCTCCCACAGAGCCGCTGGGTAAGTTCCAACTGCCAACCTTTTAGTTAGCAGCCAAACCGTTAACTGTTGTGCCACCAAGGCTCCTTTCAAAAGGTTGATGAGAACATTAAATAAAATAATACCTCTCACACAGTGCCTGGTCCGTGGCCAGCCGAGTTGGTGAGCCATGGATAAGCACAAAATTGGCCAGGGGAGCTGAGCAGTGGAGACCAGTTGTCAGAGCTGTTCCCCAAGGTCCTAGACCTCAAGGGGTGGCAGAGGAAAGCAGCGCAGGCTAACATGTTCTGCCTAAGGCCACACATCAGACCAAGTCAGCGTTAGCAGAAGGTACTGGCAAATATCCAGTGAAAATCACAGAATCATAGAAATAATAATAACTTGCACACCTACTGTGTGCTTAGTACTGTTTCAAGCACTTTAACCTCAAACAGCCCTATGAGGTACTTTTGATTATTATTCTCCTTCTACAAATAAGAAGAAATGGAGGCACAGGGAGGTTAAGAAGCTTGTGGGAGGGCCAGAGCAGGGACCCAATTCCAGGCAGTCTGGCTCCCCAGCCCATACTCAGGGGCATCTGGACACCACCGTGTCTCCATGCAGAACTGGAAGGAGCCTGTCCTAGGTTGCAAGGCTACGGTGGAGGTTGCAGGGCCTCCGGATCCCCAACTGTGCTCCTTCCACCAGGGGGCTGCCCTACAAAATGGGAAAACATCACCCCCTCGAGGTCTGAGTACTCAGGGGCCTCACCTTGCCTTCCATCCTCCCTTCTCTACCCACCCCCCAAGGCCATGATTCAGCCCCAGGGGTCTCTCTGCCCACCTCACAGCAGTCCCCAGGGAGAAAGCACCAGCCGTCCCCCTCACCCCCCTCCTCCATCCTGAGCAGAGACACAGCTGCAGCTTCTACCCATGTCTTCACCCGCCCCTTTTCCTGGGGCTCCTACAGAGGGGGTCCCCTGTCTTTGCCCCCCTCCACTGCCCACCACACACACTAGCCCTCCAGACCTCATGGGCTCTGACCCCAGCCCAGCCCACTGGCCCGCTCCCCTTGCAGCTGCACCCCCGCACACTAGGGTAGCCCCTCCCGGTCGGGAACAATCTGACTTCAGTTGGGCCCGGGTGGGAGGAGGCAGGGGTGGGCCCTGGGCCTGGCAGTGCCAGCCGGCACAGGGAGGGTTGGGGGAGAACGAGCCCCTTGTTTCTCTGACAAAGGGCTAGGCGCCTGCCCTGGGCTGGGCTGGCGCTGGCTTTGGTGTGAAGAGAACCTGGGCTAGGCCCTGCTCAGCCTCTCACGGGCGAGGTCACCCTGCAGAGGCCCTGTCCCCTCTCCCAGCATCAGTTTCCCCATTTGTAAAACGGACGTGGGATTCCCTGTCCCAGCAGCCACCTGGGGTCTGTGTGAGCCCCCAGGAAAGGATGCCGGAGAGCTGTGAACAAGGAGTCTTATGCCTGGGCCCTGTCATCTGCACAGAGGGTGGTTTGGGTGGCAGGAGCAGGGCAAAGTGAGGCTTCCCCCAACCTCACCCCCAATGTCAAGGCTGCCCCCCACCCCACACACACACAGAGCTGCTGCTTCTGGTGAAGTTCCAGCCTTCTCACAAACCCCCGCTTCTGACTCCAGGGTTGCTATGAGTGTTCTGGGGTAGACATGTGGGGATTAAGGGAGGGATTTAAGGGAACTGAGGGGGTTAGGGGCAGTCAGGAGAGACCCTAAACATAGGAAGACTTAGCTAATCCT